ACTCTTTTTCTGATTGTCTAAATCCTACATGTAAGTGCCCCATCTCCTCATCAGACCATTAGGGAAGTCACCTGACCTGGCAGAGCTCACTGAGCCCTCCTGCTTCTGAACTCTTGGCAGCCTGATTAGCACATGACCCTAGGTCAGCAGGAGCTGTAGGGCTCTACAGATCTCTGGAGTTCTGCATAGGCCAATAGTCCCAGAGTGCCAGGTGACAAGGGACTCGCCTTATGCAGCTGACTCTGCCAAAAAAGCACCCAGCGTGGAGCCCAACTCACTGAACCCTGACTCCCAGATCTGCCAGGATTTTGCTGTATGAACATGGACAGTTTTATAAACTATAATATCAGGATCATAATTTATTCGACTTTCTTCAAGCACTTTGTGCTCAGAGGAGCTTATAGAGTTTACTAAAACAAAACTAGTTCCATCACTCAAAGGGTTTGTCATTTAGTGGAGAAACAAAATTGCATTGTGATTCCTCTGTCACAGGTTTTTAGAAAGTTTAAATGAGATAACAAGAGCCTTTCTTTCTTTCTCAAATATTTTTGGAGCATCTGCTATAGGTCAGGCCTTAGGAAGAGAACAGTGCATAAAACAGCAGCAGCTCCTCTCTGTGTGGGCCTCTCTGCCACACAGCCCCAAGGAGACCTCGAAAGGGCTCAGGAAGGTCTGAAGTACTCCACCTGTGAGCTGCCATTCTCCTGCAAAAGCAGTGGCCCCTCCTCAATTTGTACCCAACTTGTTTCCACAGAGTTAGATTGCTTAACTATTGTGCCCACTATAAAACTTGGCAAAAGATATATATTTTTTGTAAGTAGAAAAAAATTATCCTAATCCCACTTATTGAACATTTTCTGGAGTTTCCGTGCAGACTTTTTTTCCCTACTCAGTTTTCCCCACATAGTTGTGGCTATTCCGTATTTAGAATTTTGGATCTTGCTTCTTTCCATTAACACACAAGCATGCTGTGTTCTTTCAACTCTTCCATAAACATTTTTAACTACTCTGTGATTGCATTTAAACAAATACCTATTATTTAGACACTTAAGTTGTTTCTAATTTTTTCACTATTATAAATAACATAGTGATGAATATTTTTAGGGGAAAAGCTAATTTCATGTGTAATACAGAATCCTAGAATAGGGATCACTGAGTTAGAAGGAGTGAACACTTTTAAGGTTTTTAATAATTATCCAAAGCTTTTACAAGGTGGCAGAGGTGTCAGTCTGTGCCCAGAAAAGGGTGATGCCACTGGCTTTTATGGGGATGAACCAAGCTCCCACTCACCAATGAACTTAAACTGGTGGCTCTCCAGCTGCTGCCGGCATCATAATCACATGGAGGGTGTGTTGAAGGGGTTCAGGACGGATCTCCCCAAGATGTGCCACTTTGGCATGTGGATTATTTTGAGCTGAAAGCAGTTGAGATCCTGTGGGCTCACAAGAAATTTTTACTTCTCATTTAAAGAATTTAAATTTGGGGCCTTGCCCATAATAAAAGTTATTATCAGAAATAACTTTTTATGACCTATCTATAGGGCAGGGGAAACTTCTAATTACTAAACATCTGCTCTTAGCACCCTGCAAATGATAAGAAGCCTCTCTGAAGCCTTAAGGCACCTTACCTCATCCTGAGCTCGAAATGTCATATACCTCATTCTCCCTTTCTGTATCTGAACTTCTCATGTAAGTAATTAAATTTGGTATTTTCTCTTGTTAATCTCTCCCATGCTGGTTTGATTATTAGACTAGCCAAAAGAACCAAGAAGGATAGAGGAAAATTTCTTCCTCTTTCACAATGTCAAACCCAAGTGGCTGGGCCCACCCCCAGAGTCTCTGAGCCAGTCTCTGGGCCAGGGGTGGCACCTGAGATTCTGCATGTCTAACAAGGCCCCAAGTAATCCCAATACTGCTGGTCCAGGTGTTGCGGAACAGGGCAAATTCCCTGAGTTGGGGGAGACTCAAGCCCTGAACTGAGAGAGAAGAAGGTTCTTGGTGGAGTGTAAGAAAACATTCAAACACACACCAAAGTTAGAGTTAAAAGAAACGTTTATTAGAGAAGGGGTAACATTCCATAAAGTGTGGTCTCCTCTCAGAAGCGTAGAGTGAGAGAGACTCAGAAGAACAGAAACAATAGAGAGAGGACAGTGAGACAGAGTAAAGACACTGAGAGGGACCCCGAATGTTTGGGGAAATCGGTTTATATATCATTCTTTAGTTCCTATGAGTTACAGTTTAAAAGACTTCGTTTGCCCATTTTCCTTTGATATGGGCATGCAGTAAGGAAGGATAAGAGTATGTAGTGTGAGAAGGTTAGAATACGTAGTGTGAAAGGCCTGTTGGCAGTTCCTAGCCTTCGATTCATAGGTTCCCTATGGTTTTAGCCTTAGGGAATGAACAATTTTATTTTGTGTAGAGTGCCACTTAAAGATTGTTTTTCTTGTTTCTCCTTCAGGATGTGGGGAAATGAGTTGCTAGCAATCCCAGCAGAAATCTTCCTTTGTTCTGCAGGTTTTCTCCTTTGTTTGGCTGCAGGGCTGATCAGCATATTGCAGTCTCTGAATATAGCCGATTTAACATTTCAGTTTTCTTGTCTCTGCCCTACATTATAGGGACCACATCGAGAATCCTGACTCAGGCCATTATCAGTTTTTCACTTTCCCACTTACTCTCTGTTAAAAGTGTAAGACATTGAATGACCAGGTAGCCTTCAGAATCCATAGTCTTTGCCCAGAGCCCCCAATATTGAGGCAGGGATTTTTATAATTATTATTTTTATCAAAGTCATGCAAATATTTGGTTTAAAGAATTAATAGAACTATAAGGCTTATTATATAAAAGAGTAGTCACCTGACCCCACTTCTGCTCCTCAGAGGTAATGCCCTTCAACTTTAGCTATTCCTCCTAAAATGTACTCTCATGTTTCTAAACAATATTCTACTATTTCTTGATTCATCCATCTGTGGCATCATTTGTTGATTCCTGATGATGGAGAATAAGGATGTAAAATTCTTCATCCACTACCTTCACGCTCCCATTAGAGCTTTTCACGATTTTTGGTTAAATCATATCCAAATCATCATTATCACTGTGTAAATGTTGTTTATTATTGAGCCAGGTGCTTTACAATGATTTTCTAATATTTAACTTTTTATTTTTCATGGAGTCATTTTAAATTTACTTATTGTTTTATATTGTCATTAATTCTCCCAAATTCTCCAACGGAACTGGAAACCCTCCAATGCTATTTTCCAAATCATCAAATACAACATAAAATCTATTAGTCCCTATTTGTTTTTTTTTCCCCCTGCTGTATTAGTTTCCTAGGGTTGTTGTAACAAATTGCCACAAACTTAGTGACTTAAAACAACAGAAATGTATTCTCTCACAGTTCCGAAGGCCAGAAGTTCAAGACCAAGGTTTCTGTCGGGTAGACTCCTTCTGTGATATCTGAGGGACAATCTGTTCCATGCCTCTCTGCTAGCTTCCAGCGATTTTTGGCCATTCTTGGCGTTCTTTGGCTTGTGCATCACTCCAGTTTCTGCCTCTATCTTTACGTGGCCTTCTTCCCTCTATGTCTCCTCTCTGTGTCTCTTGTAGCCTTCATGTAAGGATGCCAGTCATATTAGATTAGGGTCCCAGTATGAGTGGCATTCTAATAAGAATCACCTCATTTTAATTAATTATACCTGCAAAGACCCTGTTTCTAAATAAGGTCACATCCTGAGGTTCTGAGTGGATGTGAATTTCGGGGGCATACTATTCAACCATATATATTCACTGTTGAGGAACAAAATTCAGTGGAATAAATTTGAAGATCTAACTGGCTTTATTAAGTGATTCAAAATGGAAGGTTTTATAGGCAGAAAGAGGGTGGGCAAGAAATTAAAATAATGGATTATTTCAGGCAAGGTCACCTTCCCTTAGGGGAAGGTGGAGGGAGGGGGCGGGGGTGTCTTATCAAGCAGATTACCCCACTGGTGCTGACCAGGGAATTCCAGACTGACTGGTTTAAAATTCAACTCCTGGGAGAGGCTGAAATTGCAATCAGGTTAGGAATTAAGTTTTGGTAGGGCTTAGCAAAAGTGACTACATTTTAGGTCTCTTGTTTCTTTTCAACTTCACCAATGTTCTTTCTAGAGCCTTCTGTCTTCCTGTTCTATTTGTGCTGTTTGTTGAGACTTGCTCAACTTCTTTAACCTTTATGCTGAGAACTTCCTTCATTTTTCTCCATAAATCCTATTCCTTTATTTCTTGAATCCCTCCTTTCGGTTTACTTTCTAGTTGTGTTGGAGCACATCCTCCAGTATCTAACAAAGAGAGCATGGAAGGTACATTTTTTTCACTGCATATCTGAAAATACCTTTGTTCAACTTTCACATCTAATTTGTAGTTTTCTAGACATGAAAATTAGGTTGAAAGATCATTTTCCCCAGAATTTTCAAGGCCTTCTTTTTTGGCATCTGGTGGTATGGGACATGCCATATCATTCTGTTTCTTGAGCCCTTTTACTCATCTCTCTAAATATAAGATGCAAGGTCTTCTCTCTGTTCCGTTTTGAAATGTCATAGAGATGTGCCCCCATGCAAGTCTGTTTTCATCCTTTTTGCTGGTATCTGGTGGCCCTTTCATCTGGAAATTCACATTATTCATTTCTTGGACAATATTCTTACATTATCCATTTGATCATTTTTCCCCCCTCTGGTTTTTAATCCTTTTTCTGAAACTTTTAATCAGATAGTACAGATAGTAGAGTAGATTAGACTCGACCTCTAATTTTCTTATTCTTTCAGCCCCCTCCACTCTTTGTGTTCTGCTTTCTGGATGATTCCTAGTCTGTATCTTCCAAACTATCTATGGAATTTTTTTTTTTATCTTGATTATCCTACACTCAATTTCTAAGCCCTTTTCTTTGAACTCTGAATGCTCCCTGTTTTCAGCATCCTGTTTGTCTTGCAGATGTAATCTTCTACCTTTCTGATGATATCCCTTAGAGTTGTTTTGTTCAAGTTCCTCCTGCAGCCTGCATGGTCTGTTTCCTCTGAGTTCCTTTTCTCTGATTGTTTTGGTCCTTGTCTTTTATGTAATCAGCTTTCCTCAGATGTCAGTGGCCTTGACTGTTCATATTTAAGCATGTCACTTCACAATTGACTGAAGGCTCTGTGTGTGGGGGATGTGTCTCAAGGGAGACTGAGCTGGAAGTGGCCACTGTGATGCCAGGTCTCCAGCATCACTATCTGTAGGCCCTTTGTCTGGGGCTGTTTGGTTCCTCCAGAGAAGTATCCTCTAATCTCCTGCCTGGGGTGGAGTGTGTGTGGAAGGCTGGAGCAGGGTAGAGACCTGGGTGCTAGAGGTCTGAAAATTGAACAGCCCAGGTACAGGATAGTTACCATTCAGCATGTAGACCGTCATGTCCATTAGAAATAGAATCAGAGCCACACATATAACTTAATTTTCTAGTGAATACAGTAAACACAGTAAAAAGAAACAGGTGAACTTAATTTCAATAATATATCTTACTTAACCCAATATAACCAAAATATTATCATTTTGACATGTAATTAATAAAAAAATTGTTATAACATATTTTACATTCTTTTATTCGTACTAAATCTTCAAAATCTGATATCTATCTTAAATTTTCAGCACATCTCCATTGGAATCAGCCATATATCAAGTACTCAATAGCTACATGTGGCGCATGGCCACTGTCTTAGATCATCACTTCATCCCTTCTCTTCTCTGCAGAGGTCCTCCAGAGTCTGGCCCAGGTTCCTAGGAGACCCCAAACCCTAGTGACCTTTAGGATCTATCTGAACCTGCCTCAGTTGCCAGGATATCCCTGCACCCCTGAAGTCCAAGGCTACACACTTACATAGGATTTATTTACAAAAGAGTTTCCATGGCACCTGGCTCCTACCTGGGCTGGGGTACCCAGTTGTCTTGTTCTTTGTATGAGTATTGAAAATTGAGTCCTCTCTCTTCTGCCCCTCCCTTTATTTTTTATCCTCAGGTTCTCCAGCCATTTTTGTTGTTTCATGGGCTATCACCAAGCACTTTATGGAAGATGTTGGGTAAGCTATTTGAAGGAGAGATAACAAGAGTGTCCAGTTCTTCAAACAGGACAGACACTTCTTTGGAGCTGTCTAGGAGAGGCCTGTTTCTCAGCCTGGGGGCCAGAGGAAAGTTCTCTGGGGTGCCAGACTACTGAGTGCCCAGCTCCCCCAGAGTGGGAACTTGCTGATAGACACCACACTTGCACCCTCTCAGGCCTCACTCCCTTTTTGCCTGCCGTGGCAGCTCTGGTTAGGTCAGGTGCCAGACAGGAGCTATGAAACTCCAGGCAGGTGCTCCTCAGAGAGGAAGCTCTAAAGGCCAAACTAACTTTTCCTTCCTCCTGGGATCTCCCTCTTCTGCTCTTCCCTATCCCTGGGTGTTGGAGAGTCCTGCAGAGTCAGGCCTGGAGAGTCGCAGCTGCATTCTCAACAACTCCTACTGGGGATAAAGAGATCTAGTCTTGTTGTCTGAAGATGTGAAGCACTGGGGGCAGAGGTGAGCTCAGGGGACCTTCTAGGAATAGGCACATGGAAAGAAAGCTTGAAAGGAACGAGGGAAGAAGTGAGGCAGCATGACAGAGCAGGAGGCAGGGTCTCATTGGCAGAATGACACAACCAGGCCAGGAAGTGGAGTAGGTCAGATGAGGTTTATAAGGGTCTTGCAGTCCAAAATTGGCCCAAAATAATTGTTTCAAAATAATGTTTTAAATTTGGTAAATTCGCTTTAAAAAATCTGGATTTTCAGCTTCTCTAGAAAAAAATAAGTTCTGCTAGCATTTCCCATTTTCTCTTGTGACAAAAATCAACGAGAGCAGAGCTGTGGCTGCCTTAGACCAAGCACATGCTCTCCAGTTTGCCAAGAACCACCCACACCTGATGTCCTGGGGTCCTGAGGTCGTGTCCGTCACTCAGCCACTTTACTCACTGATGTCACCTGCCCGGCCTTCGTTGGCACTTGAGTTTGCCATTTTGCTAGCTTTGAGATCTGGGATCTTTTGGCTGTTAGATTTCACACATCTGCTCCCCCAGACACTGACTGAGCACGCATGGAGACAGGGTGCTACTCCCTCAGCCCCAGCAGTGCTCTCGGGCAGCAGCAGCAGGAGGAGGCCGTTCTAATGGTGCTGAGCACACAGGCACAAGTTTCAGGACCACCAGCGTATGTCTTTCATACAAAGGGCACCTCAAGGCATCAGTCTTTTCTGGTCAATCCAGCTCCCCACTCCTAACGATGCCTGGCTGTCTCTCCATAGGTGCTGGGACATCAATGCCAATGCATCTGTCTGGTGGGTCATTCGAGGGCCTGTGATCCTCTCCATCCTGGTAAGTGGCCATCCTCTCCTAAACTGGGCTCCAGTGAGAGAGAAGGAACAGTGACTGGCTTGTAGGGACAGAGGAAATAGGGCTAGCACCCCTTCCTCTAGGTTCAGGAGGGCTAAACCTCAGAGCTTTCAGAGGTTGTGCAGCAGCATGAGGAGCTAGAAGCTCCATCCCTAGAGAAAGGTGGATGGCAATGGGGTGAGGGGCAGGCAGGAGGCAAGTGCTTATATAACTCACTTTTGTCTATGAGTAGACACTAAAATGTAGTGAGTAGAGCTTCTTGCTCTAAACTGGCTGGCTCCATGCTGGCCTCAATTCCCCCTTCACTGGTCAGCTTACTGGGTCTTGATCATTTTTTGGCAACCTCTTGTTAAACTGGGAAGAATCATTAAGCTGGGATCATGGAGGGAAGGGGTGGGTTGTGGCTGGGGAAAGATGAGTAAGGCTGTGGTCTTTGGCCTGATTGATCACTTTAGCTTTAAGTTCTCAGGTGC